ATGCTCAAGTCAGCACTGCTACCGATAATAAAAATAAACGATCTTACTCGGAAGTGTCATCCCCAACTTGCTCCACTCCTACAGAAACTATACCAACAGAATTCACAAAACCAAAATCAGTGCAAATTAAAAAGAAGAAAAAAATTATCAAAATAGAGCAATCTACTTCAGAAACTACTAATATTGAGTCGTTATTACAACCAGTCAAACAATTTATCCAAGATGCATCACCACCATATGTACTAAATTACACCCAATTACTAGCATTCTTAGAAGACGTTCATGGTTCTTCCACCCCAGTAGAGCTGGCCTTAGAATACACACAGGATATACACGGGCTGGGACATATGCTAACGGAAATATATCCCATATTAAACGAAAGAGCAATTAAATCTAGAATTACAAGAATCAAGAAAAAATTACTTAGTAAAATAAACAAAGATTTTAGTATTCAGGACGACACCTCTGAAGATACTGACGCATCACAGGAAAATACTCTTGCCAACGATAAATAAAAAAAAAACAAAAAGTTAACAAAATGGCTATTATTCAGTGGAATATTCAATCCGTATTTACACATATAGAAATGCTACAGCTTTTAATTAAAGAAACACATCCACAAGTTATCTGCTTACAAGAGACAAATTTCACAACAAATAAAAAATACTCGTTAAAACAATATGAGGCCTATCATAAAATTAGAACAAACGCTGGTAAAGCTAGTGGCGGCGTATCCATTTATGTTAATTCACATTTGGAATCAGAGGAAATCCCTATACAATCAGAATTAGAGGTTGTAGCAGTTAGAATAAAATCTTCAACACAATATTCTATATGCAATTTATATATTCCATCAGATACCGAAATCACTGCCAAACAACTCGAAATGTTAATTGAACAAATTCCAAAACCCAGAATAATAGTAGGAGACTTTAATGCACACAGTACAACATGGGGATGTCTATCTACAGATAAAAGAGGTGACACCATAGAAAGATTTTTAAGCTTAACTGACTTTGTCTTGCTTAACTCAGGGGAAAAAACTCGCTTTAACTCAATTACTGGTAAACATTCCGCTATCGATCTATCTATATGCGAAAGCTCGCTAGCTCCAAATTTAAACTGGGAAGTACTACAACATACTTATGATAGCGATCACTGGCCTATATCAATAACCAACTACGCATCAGACAAAAATACTGAAATATCCTTTCCAGAAAAGTGGAAAATCAATAATGCAGACTGGGCAAGCTATCAAAATTTTATCAAAAACTCTATACCCCAGTTAGGACCATTGGAAACTGACATTGATTTCATTGTTGAAAAATTCACTACAATGATTATAAAAGCTGCAGAAGAAACTATAGGTAAAACAAGCAGGCCAAAACGTAAACAGACGGTCCCATGGTGGAATGCTGAATGTCAAGATGCACTGAAACTTAGTAAACATGCCTTCAACGTATTAAAAAAACACCATAATGAAGAGAACTTAGTAAATTTTAAAAAACATAGAGCTAAGGCAAGATATATAATCAAAAAGAATAAACGTGAGTCATGGAAACAATATGTATCCTCAATTACCGATGATACCCCCGCATCTGAAGTGTGGAACAAGATTCGCAGAATTAAAGGTATTCCATATGCTTACAAGATAAATCTTAATATGAACGGAAATCAAATATCGGATGAAGCACAAATAACAAATACCTTAGCAGTTTCGTTTCAAACATACAGCAATGACTCTATGTATGACCCTATATTTATTGAACATAAAAGAAACTCAGAACAAAAAATAATCATTACCAATAACAATCATCCACTGAACTCATCACTAAGTATAAATGAACTAAATGAAGCACTTCAGGACGTTAAAAATTCTAGCCCAGGACCTGACGAAATATCTTATGCATTCCTTAAAAATCTTCCAGCAAATGCTAAACAATACCTTCTAGATATCTATAATCTCTTATTCAATACGAATCAATTTCCAAAATCTTGGAAAGCAGCAATTGTAATTCCTATTTTAAAACCTAATAAAATAAAGACAGATCCAAATTCGTATCGACCTATATCTTTAACATCCACCTTGTGCAAAGTAATAGAAAAAATACTTAACAAACGTCTGCAATACTTCCTGGAATCCAATAATTTAATATGCAAACAACAAAGCGGATTTAGGAAAAACAGATGTACAACGGACAATTTGATTAAACTAGAATCGGTCATACACGAGGCATTTGCAAGTAATCGCCAAGTACTGGCTGTCTTCTTTGATATAGTAAAAGCCTACGATACTGTGTGGAAGTATGATGTCCTAAAAAGATTAAAACAATGGGGTGTGGACGGAAATCTTCTAGCTTTTATCAAAAATTTTGTTTATGATAGAAATTTTAGAGTTAAACTTAATAATCATTTGTCAACTTCGTATACCCAAGATAATGGAACTCCCCAAGGATCAACACTTAGTGTAACACTTTTCTTGATTGCAATGAATGAAGTTGTTGATAACATTAATACTCCTGTCCAAATTGGTTTATATGCAGATGACCTTGTTCTTTATGTAAGCAATAAAAATAGCCGAATAGCTGCTAGTATTCTGCAAGAGTCCATCAAAGCTTTAGAAAAGTGGTCAGAGAGAACAGGTCTTCGTTTTTCTACAAACAAAACAAAAGCAATATGTTTTTCAAGAAACAAACAAAAAATTTGGCCAAAATTAACACTTTACAATCAAAATTTGCAGTATGTAGAAGAACATCGATTTTTGGGAATGGTATTAGATTCAAAACTCACTTGGAAAACCCACATTCAACAACTTAAAAAATCTTGCATGCAAAATATGAACATTCTAAAAGTATTAGCCAATCATAATTGGGGAGCAGATACCTCACAATTACTTAATATATATAAAACACAGATTCGTAGCAAGCTAGATTATAGATCAATAGTCTACAGTTCAGCTAAAGATAGTTTACTAAAGCAATTGGACATCATACAAAATACCGCGTTAAGGCTTGCACTTGGAGCCTACAGAACCAGTCCAGTAGAAAGTCTTTATGTAGAAGCTGATGAACCACCACTTTCAATTAGAAGACACAGACTAAGCCTACAATATGCAGCTAAAATTGGAGCAAACTGTAATAACCCTGCTTACTCCCACACATTTTCTGACAATTTTCATTTAATTTTTGAACAAAAACCCTTTCTTTCTGCATCATTTAGTAAAAGAATTACAGGTTTCAATTTCCCGAAAGTTATTCCCAATGAAATAAACTACCCTCCTCCTTGGACCATAAAACTCCCCACATGTAATACAAATCTTCTACAGTATCCTAAATCTGATACTTCATCACATATAATTCTACAACGGTTTCAAGCGATTAAAGACAAGTACAAAAGATATTACCAAATATATACAGATGCGTCAAAAACTTCTGAAATGAAAACGGTAGGCGCAGCTTTCGTTGACGAAACAATTAAACATCAGTTCCAGCTACCTAAGGAGTACTCCATATATTCCGCCGAATTGTATGCCATATCTAAAGCCCTACAACATATATCAAACCAGCCCAAATTGGAAGCAGTCATTTTCACAGATTCTTTAAGTGCAGTACAAGAAATATTAAGGGTTTACCCAAACCACCCAATACTATGCCAAATTAAAATTGATCTCGAAGAACTTTACAGTAAGAATAAAAGGCTAGAATTTGTTTGGATTCCATCTCATGTGGGCATAATAGGTAATGAAAAAGCTGATCGGGAAGCTAAAGAAGCCTGCTATACGAATAAACAAGATAAAGAGCTCCCAGAAATTCCTCTTTCCGACATTAAAAATACCATCAAAGAATTCTCAATGAGAATATGGCTCGAGAGATGGAAAAAACTTGACGACAACAAACTAAAATGCATCAACCCAAATTTGTCACCAAAAGGGATAATGCCACAAAAACGACGAGATCAAGTCATACAACATCGCTTAAGAATAGGACATACCAGGTTAACCCACCAGTACCTAATGAAGAAAGAACAACAAAAACTGTGCTATGTTTGTGATATTCCTCTGACAATCGAACACATTATTGTTAGTTGTCCACTCTATCACCTGGAACGACTTCAAAGTGATTTACCAAGTGATCTGAAATGTGCTCTGAACTATAGTAACTGTGATAAAGTGTCTAAGTTTCTAAAACTAACTAAATTGTACAATCTAATATAAAAAATAGACTTAAGTTATCAATTGTAAATGGTAGTTCTAAGCAAACATCTAATTTTATGTACAACTCTTTCCCGCCAATAACCTTTCATGGTTGACGCGGTTTACTTAATAAAAAAAAAAAAATCTAACTTATGTCCAGATTGTCAAAAAGATGGAGATCTAAATCATATCTTTTTTGTTTGTTCAAAGTAATCAAAAACTGATAGAAAATTTATGTATGTAATATATTTTCACCCCAAAATCTGTATTACCTACTTCCACTAAATATGAAAAAGGTATATGACTGCCTAATGGAATTAATTTATTTGTAAAACTGAAATCAACCTCTATACTTTGAAATATATAATATTAGATATGAAACTATAATAGAATTGTTGTAACTGACTGAGTGGCGGTAGCCAATGCAAAAAAATGACACCATAGTTTTTACACGTACTTTGGACGATCTACAAACATGAATGAATCGCATAACTGAAGTCAACAATAGATACGGTCAAGATCTTAATACAAAAAGGTCAAATTTTTGACCATTAGTAAACATCTAAATGCCGAACTAATAATTAGGCAATAGAAGATCGAAAGAGTTTGAGAATAATATAATGTAGCTACCATGATGCTATTATTATAATATTCAAGCAGATATCGAAAATGAATTTGAAATTAAGTTAATAGCCTCTTATCCATAAAAACTGATACAGAACTAAAGTTGTTTTATAAAAAATGACCCGGTATTCCATGTATTTGTCACAACGATCATGATTTAATTTATACAAAAGTTCAATTTTACCTGGACTGTTCATTGTATTTGAAAAAAAATCTGGCCCAGTCGTCCAACCACACCAGCGCTACTCTAGCCAAATTTGTATACAGAGTTTTCTCCAGACCACCGGGAAAGGAATACGGAGAAGACTTCCTAAATACGTGTCCAACTCGAGAACAGGGTGATATTTGAATCTTTCCACCACACTGCCAGATTCTGAAAGACATTTCCAAATTTTCCCCTCCCCAGATCTTCATATCTTCATCGTAAGATCCAAACTCGAAGAACATTTTCTTGTCCATGGCGAAGAGTCCTCCAGCCATAGCTGGAGAGTTAAATGGTTGAGTGATGTCTTTTTGGCGTAGTTTTAGTTCTGTACCTCCAAGTGTGTACCACCTAGAAGAAAAACATTAGAACATTATTTAATCTTGAAGTAGAAAAACAAATACTTCAATATAAAGGCCCTTAAGATACGTTCTACGATTTTTCTAAATATGTACTACGTGATTAAAAAATAAGACTCAGCGCAATTTTAACGGCCACCTCTTTTCGTTTTTATTTTTCTCTAGGTGGGAAGCAATCAATTTCAAAATTTTAAAACATTCATACGCATACTTGAGGCTTTTACAAGACTTGTCCATGTTTTATAGACTCATAGGTTGAGTGTAAATAACCTAAAAATGAATTTTTTTTTAAAAAGATGGCGCACCATAAGAAAAAATCTGAAAAAACCAGATATCTAGTTTTTAATAAAATACAGAAAATAAAAAAAAATTGGACTTGCATCCACCTCCAAAAAAAGTTATGCGCTTTTTCCGAAAAAAATAATGCATTTTTTGGATATATACACTTAACCCCCGGGCATAAACAGTTGATACCGGGGGTACCCTTTATCGGAAATTACCAACGCTTAAAATCACAGATTACTATGTCGTTAAAATCCAAAAGTGTTGACGATATAATAAACGGTGGCATTTTAATTAATGCTTTCATTAAGCTTAATGAAACTACAATATATACAACAGCTATCCTTACCTAAACTGAAGATTCCAGTTAAAGGCACCCCAGTGCAACTCAAAACTCTTAACATAGGCAAACGTATCGTGGTTAATAATATCTATAGTAGGACAAATGACAGTCTTCTTATCTTTATTTATCACAGACAGCAGTGGCTCTAACCAACCTTGGGTACATTCACAGTGAGCGTCTAAAAATGTTAAAACTTCACCTTCAGCTACTCTGGCACCTTTTAATCTAGCCTTGATGAGACCTACTCTGGTTGAACTGCGTATGATGATAGTTTTTATTGGTAGTGTTTTGATATAGTCGTCTAGGGGCTTTTTTAAGAATTCTGTAAAATCAAAGAAGTTAAATATTTGTTTTAAATCCACTTTCAAAGTGGAACAAGAAATTCAACAAGCAAATAGTGTATTAGTAATTTGACTCTGTAAAAAGACTGTAAAAGTACCGAGGTAATTGCCTCTAAGTCACAAGCTTCAAACTTAAAGTTAAATTTTGGAACCAAACATAACACATTTAAATCTCATTTCCAAATAAAACTTTCTCAACTTTCTAAGCAACAAATAAGGATAAAAGCATTGAAAAAAACGCAATTTTAAAGGTTTTCATATGCCCTTCCGGTAGGGATCTATGGAGTAGTATCACCGAGCCGCAAGCCCTTATCTCTTGCCATACTGCTCCACCATAGGCCGATCAGACACCAGCATGTTCTAGTCTAAGCCGCAGATTCATCTAGAATTTTAAACTGCTGCGTTAGCCTTTTTGTTTTCTGTATATCGAGCTGGGGATCGAACCCACATCCACTAAACCACTCGCAGTGAAGCGAATGAGAACCGACCGACCAGCCCGCTTCACTATCTGACCAACTTATTATTCTTAAATTTTTTTTAAGTGCTTTTTTTCGAAAAAAGTGAAAATTTACCGTTTTTTGATCTTATTTTGTTAATAACGGAGTTTTAGTCTAAAAAATCGACCATCAGGAAACATATAGGTTTTTGTTACAGAAATCCATATTACTCAAAACCACTGTATTTGCCTTGCCGGTTCAGTGTCACGAAAAATCCTTATTTCCCTGCTCTACTTTGGAAGTTGTCCAGATATCTTGTTTCAACGATGCGCGATGTTAGAAGATATGATAAAATATCGTTTGAAATTATCAGCTTGAAACATCAAATAAGTTAATGTTAAATTAAAAATAGCTTGGGTTTGAAAAGTAGTATTTTTCGGGTATGTTACTAAACGGCTTCCCTCTTCCAGGAGTATTTGGAAATAACCTGGTTTTAAATCGAGGGTTGAAATAAAGTGTGCTTCTTTAACTGTTTCTAGAATTTCCGATATTCTGGGTAATAAATATGTGTCCTTAGCTGATAGCTCATTGACTGTATAAGTTGTCTTTTTTCCTCACTGGTACAATCAGTGAACTCCAACCACTTCTTGATTGATGATTTGTAACATTGAGGGGTATTGTGTTTATTTCGTGTTTTATTAAGTGAGTGATTCTGTTTTTGTAACATCCCTGAGTTTCTTTCTAATGCCGGGTCCAGACCAAACAGACAAAACAAAAACATTCATGTTTTGCGACAAAGTGGCGACAAATCGAAAACATTTGTTAAGACATTTCTGAACAATTTTGTTTTGTTTGCAAATTTGAAAACTTTTTCAGGTCGTCCCGTCTTATGTCGGGTCCAGACCAAGCAGACAAAACAAAAACATTCATGTTTCGCGACAAAGTGGCGACAAATCGAAAACATTTGATGAGACATTTCTGAAACAATTTTGTTTTGTTTGCAGATTTGAAAACTTTTTCAGGTCCCGTCTCAGGTCGGTAAAGATCAAAAGGTCTGTGTTTTTGACGACAAGTTGTCGACGCAGTGTGGACGCGTGTGCGTGCCTAAACGAGTTAAGCAGGTAGGAGAAATAGAATGTACAATTTTTATCAAAATCAAGTTTATTTTTCTGTTGTGTAGTGATTAAATAAATACTAGTGTATTTTTCTAAACATGTCGGGGGACAAAAAGTGGAATACACAAAATACATGCAAGTTAATAGAACTTTACAGGGAGCATCCGATATTATGGGACCCTAAAAATAAAGATTATAAAAATCGCTACAAGAAAGCCGATGCATTAAAGGAAATTTCTTTATCGCTAAATGTGCCACTAAATGATGTTGAAAAGAAAATAAAGAACGTTAACAACCAGTATGCTAGAGAAAGACGAAACTACAAGAAACTTAAAAAATCTGGGGCTGGGAAACTTTTCAGTTCAAAATGGTTTGGTTATGAATTGCTAAGTTTTTTGCGAGACAAAAATAAGCCTCGAAAGAGCTTGCAAGTTGGATGTTCAGAAGAAACACACGTAAGTTAATTAATATTTATTATTATTTTTTAAAGTTTATCAAATTCAAAAACTAGGTATTTTTTAATCATTCAATTATACAGGGTGCTCCCACATATCATGTCAATATTTTAACAACCTGATTTCTGAACCAATATTAAGGTGAATTAATATCTATACTGAAAAGGAAGCATTTGTGGACAAACTAGTATAAAACAGTGCATTTTTTGATACGCTGTACATACATGGTTAAATAGTGTATATTATAATAAAAGTATTATACAAGTTAACAGTATTGTAATTGCCATGGTACTTGACCTTGATTTGTCATAAAATACTCAGCATACTCATCTCTGATGGCCCATGCCTCCATAGATGCTTTTCGTGGAATATTCGTAAGAGATAAAAACGAAGCACTCGGTTGGGGATCTCTTCTCCAAGAACCTGGTTCTATTGTTCCTGTTTCTAAATCTTCCTTATCAAATGTTCCTGGAGGATTGTAATTACTTCTGGTTTTTGAATTTTTTCTTAAGTAATTATGAAGCAAAACGCATGTTAATACTATTTTTTCGGCCTTCTCTGGTTGTAATGACATCGGTTTACGAAGTACGCGAAAAACAGCTGCAAGTATCCCAAAAACATTTTCAACCACCCTACGTGCTCTGCATAACCGGTAATTAAACACTCGATTTTTTGAGTGTTTTTCTTGATGCCCACTATACGGCTTCATTATAGCAGTTGTCAAGGGGAAGGCATCATCCGCTACAAGGATATAGGGTACAGGTAATTGCCTATCAGGTAGCCTACAATTTTGTGGGCGATTTAACGCAGAATCCTCCATCAATTTATGAAAACATGTATTCTTAAATACACCTCCGTCTGAAATACGTCCCTGACAGCCCACACTTGCATAAAGGAAGTTATAGTTTGCATTTACAATTGCAAACAATACAATGCTAAATGTACCTTTATAATTATAAAATTCACTACCACTATGCATGGGTGCTTCGATTACTACATGCTTGCCATCCATGGCACCAAGGCAGCGAGGAAAATTCCAAATCTTTTCATAATCATCACTAATTTTTTTCCATTCAGCTTCATTTGTGGGTACCTGAAAAGAAAAATAAAATTGCAAAGTTTCAATTGAATTTGCATAGAAAATTTACTTTGATGTTTTTTCCAGGAATATGACTCTTCACAGTCTTCAGTATATGAAAGTGAACCAGATGGCACTGATACTATCCCTAGCGAGAGACAACAGACAACCGATATTGAAACAATGCAAAATATGGAAGAAAATACTGAGATGACTACTGATGAACTTAATACGTCTTCTATAACGGTAAAGGAAAAAGGGAAAGTAAAGAACAATAAAAAAACTTCTGAATTGACTACAATAAACAAAGCTTATAAACAGAAGGATATATCACAAAATATGGAGCGTAGGAATGAAGAAGTGTACAACATAGTCACATCATTACAGAAGGATCGTCTAGAAAAATTACACAATAAGCCTGATAAATTTGATATAATAGGTGAATTGGTAGCTCAAAAGTTAAGGAGTCTACCCACACCCTATGCCCAGTCCACAGTAGAACATCTAATTCACAATCTATTATATGACGCTGAAATGGGCAAGTATAATGAACCCAAGAAGCCACCACTATTCCAGGTACAACGCCAAATGGAAGAATTTATTCAGTTTCCCACAGGATTTTCTGGTTCTTCGTGCTCAAATCCACTTAGTCTCAACACAAATGTTCACTCAACTTCACCCAGCACTGACACACAACATTCATACTCAAATCCTCCCAGCATTGACACACGTTCATACTCAACTCCTCCCAGCATTGATACACATTTATACTCAAATCCACCCAACACGCAACATTCATACTCAAATCCACCCAGCGCTGACCCACAAAATTCATACTTAAATCCACCAAGCACCAACACACAACCTTTATTTTCACATCCACCTAGTATTGACACAGAGCTTTCTCAGTATTCAGATCAAGAAAACGATCGAAATTGATGATGAACTTTTTGAATGTAAAAACAAGTAGACTCGTCATTATTTTGTATGTAGTATGTACCTATCGTCAATTTCTTTTATATTAAACATTTAACCAATAAATATAGAGTTTATTTTAAGGGATATTAACAGAAAAATAGTAATGAAAAAAGTTTAACATACCTGCACATAACCACTAAGACTGTTAATTAAAGCTTTACATACTTCAGGTATTATTACAGATATTGATTGCTTTGATACTTTTGAAAGATACATTAGGCTGTGGTAGGAATCACCTGTTGCTAAAAATCTTAAAGTGATTGCTAACCGTTCTGTTACACTTATAGCATTTCTAAAGTTAGTATGTCTTTTTGCAACTGCAGGACCAACAAGGCATATTAGATTCTCAAAATCTTCGGTGGACATTCTTAAAAAATTTTTGAAGCTTGATCGAATTTCACCACTTAGTCCAATATCATCTGCGCGCAGCTGAACTAACAATTTGTCTATCGAACAACTTTCTCGCATTTTTAGGCTTGGTCTAATCCAAAAACGTTTGGGTTTTCGTTTAGCAACCTGGGATGATGATGAGAGCAAAAAAAAAACAACTTGCGGCTAGCAATAAATCTTCAGTTTCATTTTTTTCTTGATTAAAACGCCACATGGTTAACCAACACTAATCACAACAACAACGTCACCAACTCAACTGAATTTTGTTTTTATATTTTGTTGTTCTGGTGTGGACAGTTTGTCTCAATTTTGTTTTGTCTTTTGACGACAAATTTTGTCGCCGGTTTATCGTGTTTTTGTTTCAGAATTGTGTTTTCGTTTTGTCTGCTTGGTCTGGACCCGGCATAAGGAATCTTTCTAACTCCGTATTCTGAGTAGTGTTCTTTAAAGCGTTGCATGTTTCTTCTCGGTCCTATGTATTTTGTTTATTCATATCTCTATCGAATTACTGATCATTGTTGAACCGTTTGATAGTTTAGTTCTTACGCTATAGTTTACCAGAAAGTGCTTGTATAGCTTGCAATTCATGTTCTAGTATAATTTTTAAGAGTTGTTGTATCAATAAGCACTTTGTAAGTTTTGTGGCCGATTTTTAATGATGCAAAAAGTCGAAACTATTGGTAGTGTAGAGGAGAGAACTTACGGAGTCGAATCTAAAATGGACGACTATTTATTTCTCTAGTCCATTATTCGTTTCTCTGGCTTATACAGAAGCCTTGGCTGTAAACGCTATTTTTGTCATAACGCAAACAGACTTTTTTTCACGGGTTCGTACAATTTTTACTGTTGTCTGGCATTTTGCTGGTATTTTACATCTAAAGCAGGTTCTTTTGGTATCAAATTCTCTTGGGGTTATATGTTCTTGGTGTCTTTGAAGATTTGGTTTTCTTGAGATTTTTTGTCTTCTTTGGCTTCGTACTCCTGAACTAAATATTGCAATTCCATTTAATCTTTAAAGTCTTGGCGGCGAATATAAAGCTTATACTCCGGTAGCATACTTACATATATTCGTTACAATTCTTGATTTCTGGTCAATGATCCTTCTCGTTTAATTAATGTTTGAATATCCGAGATATATCTATCCACTGACTCCTTTTAAAATATAAATATAAAGCTTTCTTAAAATCTGCGCTGGAGTCTGTCCACAAGATTTACAATTTTTGTTATTGTTTGGGTACCATAGTAATGCATGGTCTCCTAACAGTTCTGTTAATACCTTTAGTAGATCTTGTTGATCGATCTCGTAGACTAGCTTTAATTCGTCTAGCCTTTTCATAAAGTCTACTGCGTCTGAGTGCTTTTTATCAATGTGTGTATCCTTGGTTTTCGTACTTGGTTTAATTCTTTCGTAATTGGTTCCCACTTTCGTGCTTGGTTTAATAAGTCTGCCTGCTACATTTGTTTCTGTATTCTTAGGTATTGTAATTCAGGTTCAGATTCTTTGGAAGGCTTGACTTTTGGGGTCGTTCCTGGTAGTTTCCTGGGATCTTTTAAAAAGCTTTCTCTCTTAGCCTTGATCTCAATTTTTTGGCGGTTTCGTCAATAAATTCACGACTTACCTGCCATGGCACCAGTTACTGAGCCCGTTGCTGGATGAAGCGACATTTTATTTTTGCCCAGGCGCCCACTTGTGATGAGTAGTTCTGTTAGACACCAGACTCAGTAAAACTGAAGATTAATTTAAATAAAAGTGTATTCAAATAAATAAGAAAAATTAAAATTTGCTTCTATACAATACGTAAAATAAAAATAAAAAGACGAATCCTCCTAAATAAAATCGACGGGCTTCGATCCGACGTTGATGGCGGTGAACGAAAAATACATGTTAGCGGCGGTCGGATGGGTAGGACTAATGACGATCTTTAATAAATAACCAAAGACCGTGGGAGCGGCCGATCAATACTCGACCTAGGCGAAGAAAGAATGGAAGAAGCCAATCAATACTCGATTTCAGGTATGGAAAAAAAATGTGGTCTCTGACCAGTACTTAGAGACCCAAAGAAAGAAGTTATTACCAGGCCAATGCTCGGATCAAACTTAGTTGTCGACTATCTTCACGGAATTTTATACTTTTGCCGGTGTTACATCTCCAGCGTGTCGATGGTAGTGATAGGTTGTTATTGGGAGTGGGAGTGCGGGTACAAAGAGAGAGGGCCAGAAAATATATTATTTCTCGAATCGTTTCTTGTAATATCTTGGAGAATCATTCTCATTTTCTTTGCCTTTAGTCCTGTGCAAGGTCGGCTTCCCTAATTATATTTCTGCATAAGTCTCTATCTTGGGTCATGTCAATATTAATACCCTTTACCGACATGTCCTGCTTAAGCGTCTCTCCCAGTCTTGTTTTCTTCTTTTGTAATGTTTTGGAGAATATATGGATACAAATACAAAACTAAATGGAGTTGGTAACAAAAAACTATTAATAAGAAGTTAATGATTTTCGGTAAATAGTCTGATCACCAATCACTTACCTCTTTCGCTGGCATCATCAACTAATATGATTTCCTGAACTAACTCTTTAGGAGACCGATTGATAACACTCCATACCGTTCTTAACAAAGTAGACCATGCTTCATTGTGAAAAACAATGATGATACTGGTTTTTGGGTATGTCAAGTAGTCTTTAAACAACATGGTGCATCTAAAATAAAGGCATTTAAAAAAATAATTCCAAAACTATTTTTAAGTAAATGTTTTATTGGCTCGTTTAACATTTTTCGTTTTGTTATAATAAGTAACCTACGATTTTCTACAGGTTATACTCGTAAAAGCGAGAGTGGAGAGAATTGGGAATTTTAAAATATCAAGGCTTCTTCTTATTTTTTCTTTGTTAAAGATCTTTCGATATGTTACTACCGATTCATCGCTGTAAAATCTTTTGGGAAGTGGATTGTTAACTTCTTCATTTTTTCGGCGTCCTTACTTTTTTTCCTATTCCATATTCCATACGAGGTCTAGTGCAAGTTTTGTAAATTTTGATTTTGCTGTCTGTTCCCATAAGTCGGTTTTTCCAAATTTCATCTGTTAGACATCCTGACATAGTTGCTGCTTTGTTTATAACATTTTATAAATATTTTGCAGGATCATATCCACTGAAGAGGTCAATTCTTAGATAGTGTGATAGAACTGTGATAACTGTCCTACATCTTTGTTATGGTCCAATGGTTGTAGCTTTTTAAATTTGTTTTAACTATAAATTTATTTAGGTATAAAATTTTGTAGTACGCCCCTGAGTTTTGTTTTGTGTACGCATTCAAAATTCTCAAGAAAGAATTTACGTATGTGTTAAAAATTGCCTTCCATTTTTTTACGTTTCTGAAGTCAGTTGAGGAATGTCTTAGAAGAATGGCGTAGAAGTTAAATGTATTTTGTAAGTGTTGATTTCGAACTGAAAATGTTTCAAGGTCATTTAACGAGATAGTCAAAGAGATGTTTATTTGAGTTCGGTGGCACGAACGGGCATCGGAGGAGACGTGAGGGAGGAGACGTACGGTAAGGTTTTTAGGTTGGGAGAAGCATTCAGTTTGAAAGGACGTGTGATTTTTTTAATCAGCAGCCGGCAATTTTGTGTAATGGATTAAGTTTCAAGACCGGTAAAAAGTTGTAATTACTCTCTGTAAAATTGCAGTTTAGAATAGAGTAATCACTTAATAATTAGAAGATTTGTGCAGTATACCAAAATATGGAAAAAATTCAAGGCAGTACATAGGGTGTGCCACAACCTCGTTTTTCGTCTGTTTGCTTCCAACCTCGTTTGTCGTTTTTAATCGTCGTTCCAGGCTATGGAGTTGGTTTTCCTTTGTTTCTGTTAAGAAATCGTCCAGATAGCTTCTATCCCAGAGATGTTAGCAAGGTTTCCAAAAGTTTAAGTGTAAAATATGTGAAATAAGGTAACATTTGAAGTATAATTTCCCAAGTAAAATAGATATTTTTTTTCTGAGTAACAATAATTACTTTCGTTTAAAATTTAAGAATCTGTAATATTTAAAATTATATGTGGTTATAACTGTCATAATTTTATGCTGTCTTAAAATGTTGTGTTGACAAATGACAGCTAGCTTTAATTTGTTTGTTTGTTTTGACAAATTTTAATTTGATTATATAGAAAAGGTTAAATTTTACGATATTTTCATTTATAAAGATATCTTTAATTTCAATAATCTATTTTGGCCACAGTGATAAATAACCTAGTAACCATTTTGAACGATTTTGTAGCAATCTTCTGTGTAAACGATAGACACGTTAGTTTTTTCTTTGTAATTTTGTATTTTGCAACTATTTATTTAGTATATTTTTTTGTGCCATCTGTATTTTGATAACTGTTTGTTTGAGACAAAAATAAATGTTTGATTTATTTCTCTGATTTATTTTTTTCTCCTAACCCTTGTGTGTATTCTTGATTTTAGGAAAGAAGAATCTTTCTTTCTTCCAGCAGATTTTAGAAAAGAAGAACCTTTCTTTCTTTGTTTCTTTTTTGTAGTTACCACAATCTGACCCCTTTGATTCAACTTATCCACGATCCAGCTCTCCAATAAACCCCTGAGTGCCGTACGCACAAGTATCGATTATTTTGCTTGTCCTATCTCAACCCCCTTAGTTTCTGTCCCCAATTTTCTACCCCCATAATCTTACCCTAAGGTAGGCAGAATATTATCGTTACATGGTTTACATTTTATTCGCTCTCTAGGTATGGTCATGCACTTTGTCTCGATTCTGTGGATCTTTTCACCTTTGGCTCTAATTAGAGCCTGATTTGCAAAGCTGACAATACTGACCCATTAGTCGTCATTTTGTACCTTATTGAATAAAGCGACTATTCTATTATTTTATATGTTAATAAGTGAAAGAAAAATAAAAGGATATTTTCGTGGTGTGTTCTCGTAGTCTGTGTATATTTTTTTAATATTTGCTTTTCAGATTTTATTTTTGTGTTGTTTTTAAGTTTAAGCAATTTATTTTTTTGATATTAGCAGGGTCTTTTATTTTTATGTATCTCTATTCCATCATATAGTCGCATCCTATCGAATTGAAGCACCTACTCGTATATGCAGTGTTTTGATTTATATCGATTTTTCTTTTATCTGTTTTACCATAAATTATATGTAAATATATGTAGTTATATGTAGCTATATACTTTCCGAGGCATTTTAATTTGCTGGTTTCGTTTTTACCTCTTATTCTTCAAGACTGGATCTGTGCCTTGTATTGAGATTTACTTGTTAACAGACTTTTTCAATTTTTGGCCATTTTCCACCCTTTCCATTGTTCTCCATATATCTGGTGGTCTGATAAGTAATCACCTCCGCAGATTAGATCGCTGTGATTAAGAAAAAACATTTTGCGCGATAGAGCCATTAGTTTATTCTTGACAGCTGCATAATGTTGACGTTTTTGGAAAAATGACGCATATGGAGAAAAACTATTTTCTATCTCCCATTAAACATTATTAGTTGAGAAATCAAACGGCGAATAAAACACAAGAAAAGCTGAATAAATATGTGACTAATTTTAATTCGGACTACACTGTCAACTTTTGATTTAGTAAATTTCATATTGGTATATCTAAACTGGATGAACCACATACTGGACGGCCATCCGTAGAAGTTACAATAGAAAATATGAAGAAAGTTCATAAAATGGTTTTAGCTGATAATAAAGAGAATTCTTCTTAGAGTGCCGTCTCCCTACGGAGGTTGGCAATCATAATGGCTATTTTTATTTTAGAACTTGCTGCTCTAAACAAATCAATCGATCTGCATTGGTACCAATCACGTAGATTCTTTAACCATGAGTTCTGCCTTCGGCCAACAGATCTTCTTCCTTGAATCTTTCCCTGTATTATCAGTCTCAAAATTTCATATTTTGGTCCCCTCATCACGTGGCCTAGGTATTCCAGTTTTCTGGTTTGTATAGTGGTGATTAGTTCTGTTTCTTTACCAACCCTCTCCAGTACTTCTTTATTTGTAATTCTATCAGTCCATGATATTTTCAATACTCTGCGGTATAATAAAGAGAATGGGCGACTATAATGGGTGGTTTTAACGTTAACATCAAAGTCGGTAAAATAACAAAAAAGAAAGGAAAATTGAGACTAGATTTGTCAAAGCTTGAAAGGGAAAAATGTCAACAACAAAAATAAATGAAGCAATTGCACCAGCATTCATAGAAGCTTCGAAAAAAGATATTATCAGTGCCTGCAACGAAATGAAGGCGGCAATAATTAACGCTGGTGAAACGTTTGTGGGTAGAAAAAAACGAAGTGCCAAAAAATACTTCATGACACCAGATATTACAAAGTTCATAGAATACAAACGAAAATACAAATAAAGAAAAAAAAAGGAAATAAAGAAACTAGTAGAAACGCAGATCAAGAAAGCTAAAGAACGCTCGATATCGAAATAGAAATAGAAGAATGTTATATGAAACACGACACACATAACCTATATAATGCCGGGTCCAGACCAAGCAGACAAAACAGAAACATTCATGTTTCGCGACAAAGTGGCGACAAATCGAAAACATTTGTTGAGACATTTCTGAAACAATTTTGTTTTGTTTGCAGATTTGAAAACTTTTTCAGGTCCCGTCTCAGGTCGGTAAAGATCAAAAGGTCTGTGTTTTGTCTGTGTTTTTGACGACAAGTTGTCGACGCAGTGTGGACGCGTGTGCGTCCCAAAACAAGTTAAGCAGTAGGAGAAATAGAATGTACAATTTTTATCAAAATCAAGTGTATTTTTCTGTTATGCATTAAAAGAAATTTCTTTCTCGCTAAATGTGCCACTAAATGATGTTGAAAAGAAAATAAAGAATGTTAACAACCAGTATGCTAGAGAAAGACGACGTTTGGGTTTTCGTTTAGCAACCTGGGATGATGATGAGAGCAAAAAAAAAACAACTTGCGGCTAGCAATAAATCTTCAGTTTCATTTTTTTCTTGATTAAAACGCCACATGGTTAACCAACACTAATCACAACAACAACGTCACCAACTGAATTTTGTTTTTATATTTTGTTGTTCTGGTGTGGACAGTTTGTCTCAATTTTGTTTTGTCTTTTGACGACAAATTTTGTCGTCGGTTTATCGTGTTTTTGTTTCAGAATTGTGTTTTCGTTTTGTCTGCTTGGTCTGGACCCGGCATAAGAAATTGAAAGACATTACAGGTAATACACGAAAAAGAATACAAGTTATAATAAAGTCCAATAGAATTCTCCAATTATCAGAAGAAAAACACAACAAACAACAGGAAATAAATAAAACACCAACTAATGAAATATACCAATTCTAATATCAGAGGTAAAATAGGCAATGAAAAACTCAAAAAGTGGTAAAATGCAGGGTCGTGATGAAATTCCTTGTAGAAATATTAAAAATCTTAAATGTCGAAAATATAGAGTGACTAACTTCTTTCTTTTCTTCTTCTTCCTTCTAGTACGTAGGCTTTAAAGCCTGTTTCTTCTTCAATATTAGCCTCCTAAATTTTTTAAATTGTCGCACCATCTTTTTCTTGGTCTGCCAATACTTCTTCGTCCATTTGGTGACATCTCGTGCTATTCGTACTATTCTATCCTCTGCCATCCTACTGATATGTTCATTCCACTACCGTTTTCGTTTTGTCACCCATCCATTTATGTCTTCTATATTGCATGCTCTTCTTATGTTTTTGCTTCTCTGCCTATCTAACAAACTTCTCCCTGATATTTGTCAGAGTATGTTCATCTCTGTTTTTTCTAACAGTCGTCTCGTTTTAGATGTGTCAGGTCTTGTCTCCGACATGTATGTTAATATAGATCTAATTGCTGCTTTATAGATTCTTATTTTTGTGTCTTGTCTTAGGTCTTTGTTCTTCCAGATTGTGTCATTAAGAGAACCCGCCGCTTTACTTGCTTTTAAGCTTTGTTGTCGTACTTCTTCTTCGACATCTCTGTAACTAAACTACGTTCCACGTTTAGAAAATAACATTGCGGAGATAGGGCCATGTATTTCTTATGGACGATAGCAACGCGGCGTTGCCACGACACACACAAGCACAATTTAGGGTTGTATAATTTGTATTTTCGTTTCCACAAACATGAATTAAATTAATGTTTTTTAACGTAATTGACCAAAAGTGCCCATTCGAAACAAGAGATGAAAAGTAGGGAAAATAATTTTAATTAGATAAATAGTATTTCTTCTTCTTCTTTGGGTGCCGTCTTTAATGAAGGTTGGCGATAACCTCAGCAAAATCATTTCTGTCCCTGGCTTTTCTTATTAAAGATTGAGAATCCAAACCAGTCCACTCACGAATGTTCTTCAACCAGGACGCCTGCCGCCTACCAGGACCACGCTTTCCTTCTACCTTCCCCTCTATAAGAAGCTGCAGTAGCTGGTATTTCTCATTTCTGTATATGTGTCCCAAATATGAGGTTTTCCGTGTTTTCATTATTTTTAAGAGTTCTCTGTCGGTACCCATCTTGTGTAGGACCTTCTCGTTGCTCATATGCGCTGTCCAGGGGACTTTCAGCATCCTTCGAAATAACCACATTTCAAAACTTTCCAAACGCCTTAGTGAGTTGATTTTGAAGGTCCAGGCCTCCATTCCATATAGTAAGGTGCTGTAAACGTAACATTTCAGCATTCGGTATCGGATTTTGAGATTGAGTGTTTGGGACGTAAACATTTGTTTCATTTTTAAAAAGACATTTCTTGCTTGTTCAATTCGCGATTTTATTTCTATGTCTGGATCTATATCTTTCGTTATCCAGCACCCTAGATATCGAAATTTCTCGACATTTTCGATAATGTTACCATTTACGTTTAAAGCCATGGGTGGATGGATGGATGTTTTGGAGACAATCATTGTTTTTGTTTTCTTGACGTTAATGCTGAGGCCGTATTGTTCTCCGATCGATCTGACGCGATCTAAGAGTGTCTGGAGATCCTGTGCGCTCTCTGCAATTAGGACCGTGTCGTCGGCGTATCGTACATTATTTAGAACTCTGCCGTTAATTTTAACACCTTCACTTGATTGCTCTAGTGCTCGTGCAAAGATTTCTTCCGAATATATATTGAAAAGTAGTGGTGACAATACACACCCCTGTCGTACACCTCGCTTAATATTGAATATTTCTGTGTCACCGGCTTCTGTTCTAACTGCTGCAGTTTGGTTAAAATACAGCGTTTGGATAATTTTAAAATCGAAAGAAAATGCAAAAAAGTATTTTTGAAGTGTGTATATTTTAGGCAATTCCTATCTGAGCGCTTTCGGCTTTACAAAGCCATCATCAGAGCTATGGTCAATTTTTTAAATACCACTACAAAGGAGAGATCTCATTTCCTTAAATTTCAAAATTATGATTTTGTAGGTGTTGAAATTCTTAAAACATATAAAAAAAACATATAAAAAGCCGACACTGGACTTCACAAACACGTTAAAAAATTGAAAAATTTTTTGTCATGGTACGGGTTTAAGAACCCGACCATTGATTGATGTGAGGACGTAGACTGAATCTACGTCCTACGTTCAGTTCAATATACTAATCAAAGTTATTCAACAGCGTATATATAAAAATATGAAGAACAATAATTAAACAACACAAGTTTACACAGAGGTAGAATGGCAACAAGAGACGCATTGTGTGCAATAATGGTACTATTACAAAAATGAGAGAATATAATAAAAACGTAGTCATATGTTCATAGATTTCCAAAAAGCATTTGACAGAGTTCAACATGGTAAACCCGTACATGCATTGAAACACATACACCTAGATTCCAATGGTATTAATTTAATTAAAAATCGATACTACAATCGAACAGCGGTCGCACAGGTGGAAAATAGTGAGACAAACCAACTAGAAATTTAAAGTGTAGTCAGACAGGGATGCGTGCTGTCGCCACACTTATTTAATATGTACTCCCAACTAATATTTCAGGAACCACTATGGGAAAGAACTGAAGGTATAATGATTAGAGGGACCATCATTAATAACGTAAGATTTGCAGACGATACCGCAATCATGGCAGAAAATATAGAAGATTTACAATTTTTTATAGAAATCATTAACAGAGAAAGCAAAAAGATGGGACAAACAATGAATATAAATAAATACATTATGATCTCAAAAACCCCTATTGACAATATACGTCTGACATTGGAGGGTAAATCGTTAGAGAGAGTTGACCAGTATAAATACCTTGGAGAAATTATAAACTCACAGTTAGATCAAGATGAGGAGATAAAGGTCAAAATTGAAAGAGCTTGAAAAGGATTTATAAAAAACAAGTGAATGTTTACAAATAAGAAATTAAGTATGGCTATCAGATTCAGGCTGGTAAGGGCGCTCATTTTTCCCATCGCCACATATGCATCCGAAACGATAAAAATAAACTGGACGCTTTTGAAATGTGGGTATACCGCTGCATGTTGAGAATATCCTGGATTGATCATCGCACTAACGTATCGATATTAGAACAACTTAAAGTAAATGATAGATTGCTTAAACAATTACGACAGAGATATTTGCAGTATTTTGGATACATTGCTAGAAGAACAGGCACGTTGGAAAAACTGATGTTTGAGGGTAGAGTTAAAGGAAAAAGACCTAGGGGAAGATCTCCAAGCCATTGGGTAGATCAAACAAAAATATTGATTAACCAATGGTTACATGAAGCCGAACAACTAGCTCAGGACAGAGAAGGATGGAGGTAAATCGTAAAAAAACTGTGAAGGCCTGACGGTGACACCACATCCCAAAAGGGATTAGGACTGAGGAGGATCAGATTTAGGTACATCGAATGTTATGAATGGTCGCAACTTCGAGATGGGGTAGAATCTTGGACTCTAAAAGCACAATCTGTAGGCAGTAGCAAACATTGAAGGCATTAGAAATGTGACTATATAGGCGTATTCTTCAACTTCCTTGGGCTGCAAAAGTCTCAAACGAAGAATTGTTAAGACGAACTGGACAAAGGAGAAAGCTTATAAACACCAAATAAGAAAAACATCGAATTTCGGCCATATACTCCGAAACGATAAATAATTATAATCTTAATTGTTTACCTTGAAAAAGGTAAAAATATCTATAGCCAATATTATTGTGCATTATTAGACAAATTGAAGTAGGAACTAAGTGAGAAATAGCCTCATATGCAAAATAAAAAGTGTTCTTTCTTCAAGACAATTCACTGGCTCACAAGAGCGTTATGACAATGTCAAAAACTCATGAGTTAGGCGTCAAATTGTTTTCTCATCCGGCTTATTCTCCTGATTTGACCCCCCCATTTTTTTGTAGTTTTCAGAATTTGACGTAAAAGAAGTTAGAAAAACGCTGAGGTCGTCGTATTGAGCGAAAAAGAGACTATGTCAAATAAAATTAATTATTTTCTGGAAAAATATGTTTTTTATTATATAGGAGGATACTTATCAGATCACCTAACGTCATTGTCCATCTTGGCTGTCAAATGTATCCAATATTCCCTCTCGAGATTTTAATGCAAATTAAAAAGTAAGCAGGAGTTTATATGATATTCATTGATCTTGAGAAAGTGTATGAAGTTCCTATATAAAAAAACAAGAGTTCTCTTTGAGTCTGTTGAAATTGTGTAGATATGTATAATTGAATAACAACTAATGGCGAGATGAATGTAGAACGAACTAATAAATTAAAGTGTGAATGGGACTGCATCAGGGCTCAGTCTTAAACTAATATCTATCCTGATTAGTGCTGAATCACGTACCGGGGAAATCTCCAGAGCATATTCATTGATGTTTTATGTATAATTATAATATAACTTTACTAGGAAATACTTTACTACTAGGAAATACTAGAAAAAATATTATCTTTATTTTAACGTACCTCTTCCTCCTGTAATCAGGCAAACTCCTATTTAGTGGTATTTTATCACTAGCCATTAAATTAAATTGGTTTATCTGATACAATTGCTGTGTTTTTACGAAATCTTTGTTGTCTACTACCAAAGGTTGTCCGTTTTTGCCAGCGTTTGGTACTGGATCGAAGTTGTTTTTGTTGATAGTTTCGTTTGAAGCTTCTGGAATATTGTGGGCGATGTTTCCTCTATAGTGACCTACTACTACGCGTACTCCGTGCCTATCGACGTATTCTTCTTGGTATTTTTTCCTTAAAAGAAAAAAATTGAGAACATATAAAATAGATAAATTAAAATTGATTTTTTTAAAAATTTCCCTGTTTACTTCTACATAACATGGTATACTAAATAGTGGATTCTTCAGATGTTAAATTAAACTTAGCTAAAGACGGAATAACGAAAGTTTATTAGCCAGTTAAGCATTAAGTTTATACAGCCAGCTACAGAAACTTAGTTTCCTCGTGGAAAGTTTATTATTCAATTCAGTTTTAAGCTAGTTGTCTCTAACATCTGAGAAGCCAGCATGTGGCGAATATTTTTTTCCAAAAATAAAGTTTAGGTATATTTATTTCTTAGTTTTCTTTTGATTTCGAACAGTAACGACGTGCCGGTTGTAGCATTAAAGAGATGCAATAAAATAATAAATTTTAGCCAGCAAAGGGCCAGATTTTAAGATTGCTTTCTCGTTCGGAATTCAAGTATTTCTCTTTTGAAGAGTTGGTAGGACGCAAATTTAAACTTAATAGAAAGTGGAAGAAAAACTGCTATAAATTAACTTCTAATCAGACTTCGGATTACTCAAAGCACTTAGCTTTGACCTCATTGCAAATGAACTCTTAAAGCAGCTGCCAAAGAAAATAATTTTGAAAACTAACCGACATCTTCAATGCCCCCTATAAACTGAAATACGTCCCGAAACCCTTGAAAGTGGCAGAAGTGGTGATGATGTTCAAATCTGGCAAACCATCACACGACATACCTTGGATATGGCACAAGTTTTAAAACAGTATGGCCAAAATATTAATACATAACGTCCGGCTCTACCTTCCAGAGTAGTATTTCTTACTACTAGAATAATATTTATCAGATATATACTTCAGTAGTTATGCAAGACGAAGCATATTCTGATCTGAGATAAATAAGAGCTGATGCTCCACAAAGACGCGCCCCGACATTGTAACATAAAAGAAATGAAAAAGAAGACAAAGCAAACAAAATTAAATAAAGCGAACTTGGAGAGTTAAACAGCGTATTTTAGATTGAGGAAAGCCCATAAAACAGGCATTCAAGCATCAAAGAATTATTTCATGATATTAAATCATTATTCTTAGCCAGGGCAGAGGAAATCGAAAACATTTATCAAGAATTTTATACAGCTCACAACATCATCATCGGATTAATAACCGATGATGAATTTCTGGAGCAAGATAAGTTTAGGGTTGCCGCTGATCAGGCATACTACGGAGTAAAATCCATCAAGTATGACTTTTTAATTAGGGATGGTCTTCTTCTTCGAACATCTCCTCACAGTCGAATGTACCATCTTCAAGGTCTTCAGTTGGACTTCCAAAGCTTAATATACCCACATTTTCAGACAATTTTCGAGATTGGCCTAGTTGCTTTGACCTATTTAACAGTTTAATTCACCACAATCACGATTTGTCTGATGTGCAAAAATTCCAGTTTCTTATTACGTATATTAGTAAAAAACCTTTGGCTCTTATTAAAGGCATTCGGAATCCAGGCCGTAGAAGAATGTCATGGTTGCGGAATTTGAGAGAGTGGTTTGGCTGCACCCCTAATGAACTTTTTAGGTCAGCCGTAAACAAGGTCAGAATAGCCTTGATGATTTCCAATCTCCGATAGGAGTGGCACAAAAAGAAGAAGAAGAAAGGCATTCCTCTGACCGATGCAAATTATCAGATTGCTTACGAGGTTCTGGAGAAAAGGTATCATAATAAGCGAATTCGCTCTATCCAATATTATAACGATATGTTCAACAATTCAGTTGTAAAACATTCTACTTCTTCTAATTTAAGAAGTCTCTTAAATACTTTCAAGGAAAATGTTGTCGCTTTACGTGTTTTTGATTTTCCGGTTGACCGATGGGTTTTTCTATTATTTAATATGTTGTCAAATAAATTTGACAATAAAACTCGTACGGATTTTGAATTACAAAAAAGTCGAATCTGTAATATTCCCACTTACAGTAAGTTGATTTCATTTTCATCTTCGTTACAATCGATTTAGACATATTGCATTTTTCATTATTTTAAATTAAATATTAATTAGCGACTCATTAAGTTTTACACAAAACATTGGTCCTAAAAGAATGGATAATTAAGTTAAAGAAAACCAAATCCAGTCATGTCGCTTTTGCAATAGAAGGAGTCAGCGCATTTCAGTCAGAATTGATGAATCAGGTGTCCAGTTTCCGTACGAAAATACTGCAAAATATCTGGGCATCAATCTTGATGCAAGGCTTTGATGGAGAGCACATGTCAAGAAGAGAAGACAAGAGGTTGGAATCAGATAAAAAAAATGCAATGATTGCTTAGACGTGACTTCCACTTATCCACATATAACAATTTTGTACAATGAGATTCTTAAGCTTGTTCGACGTTATGGCATACAGGCAAGGGGTTATGTCCATACAAGTAGCTAATGTCCATGCACACTAACCCAGAGAATCGAATTATACTCAGTGTAATTTAGATTATCATGTAATGTACTGGTATATATTTTAACGATTTCACTTTTGCACTCCTGATGAAGCCAATAAACATTGGCGAAATATTGAGTTGACAACAAAAATAAATAATTTATTTTTGATCGAAAAATCTGATATCTCACTTACTAGTTTACAAGTACTACTATATATATATATATATATATATATATATATATATATATATATATATATATATATATATATATGCTGCTATTGAAATTGCAGTTTTTCTGTATTGTATTGCTTTCTATGATGCTTTCTTTTTTACTTACCTAATTATATGTTTAGGATGAATTTCATTTTCTTTTCCATTAAAATATATTCTTACCAAAAAAATCACAGTTAGGATTACAAATAATATCATTGGTAGTGTTTTTTTGAGTCTTCTTCTTATACCAGCAAACATGGTGATCTTAAATGAAATAAAAAATAAGCAAATAAAAGCAGTATAGAACAGTTATCAGCAGAAAAGGTTTGATTATTTATTTATTTATAATCAAGAAACATTTTTTTATCTATAAGTATGTAATAATTGACTCTTCTTTGGGTTACATTGGGTTACATTGGGATACAGAATAGCTATATAGAGGGTGAGTTATAACTATCATTACACATACTAGAATCATGTTATTTGGACTACAATATGCCCATTAGGCCAAATATGGAAAAGATACCAAGAGACCAAAAGTTTTGTGATTTGGTTGCCCTTTGTCTGCATATATCAATACATGACATCTAGCTGCTGAGTAACCGTCAACATTTTCTTGCTTGTATACACAAATCATATTCCGAATTTTTTTATTTGCCAGTTTAATCGAAAGAGTAATGATAGAGTTAAAAATGTAACAATACACTAAACTGTCACAGCAAAAATAATTCATCAAAAAAATTTCGACTCAATTTTATCGTGTACTTTCAAAAAATATCAATTTTAAATAACAATGTAAATTATTGGCTAAAGCTGTCAAAAAGTTAGGGATAGAAACACATTTATAGGTAATAAGTTATTAATTGATTGTTACCTGTATATTATATTGGAATTATCATTGATGTATCACTGTTTTAAACATATTTCTGTAGCAGCTGGTTAAACTTGCAGAACATTATGTAGACCTACTCATTTAGGTGCTAAAAAATGGTAATCATCGTTTGTAATACCTAAAAAATATTATAATTTTACATAAGTATAAAGTATATTTCACGAATTTGCGACTGTTCCTATTTACTGTAAATCCTTTTATCTTTTTTGCTCAACATTATGACCATTAAAGCCGAAAACCTTGGATGACTCAAGAAATACTGGAAATCATGGAACAAAGAAGAAAATATAGAAACCAAAACCCAAGGAAGTACAGAGAAAAACATAAATTAATAAAGAACAAAATGAAAGGGGTCAAGGAAAAGTGGATGATGGAAACATGCATCGAAGTGAAAGAATTGCAGAAAAAGCATGATCGTTATAATTTACATAAAAAAGTGAAAGGATTATCTGGAAAATCACGAGCAAATACACCGATTAATTGACAAAAACAATAAATCTATTAATAACTCAATCGAAATAAAACAAGTATGGACTAAATATATTGAAGATCTTTTCATGGACACAAGAATGGAACCAACACAAATTGATAACGAGGAAGCTCTAATAGTATTAAAATCTGAAGTTCATCATGCTATAAACAACTCAAAATCTGGCAGAGCCCCTGGGCCAGATGAGGTTCATATCGAGCTGATTAAACTTATAGACGAAGACAATTTAAGTGAAATAACTATACTCTTTAACAACATATACACATCTGCTGAGATAACTACAAAATGGCTGCTATCGACCTTTGTTCCGCTAGAAAAACCAAGAACCCCAAACACTGTAATGACTATAGATTAATCAGCTTAATGTCACACTTATTAAAAACATTTTTAAATATTATACATGCAAGAATATTCAGAAAGTGCGAAGGGGATATGCGTAATAAATTGAAAAAGACTGTAAGACTTGTACACACTTTTAAATAGGTCTAACTGGTAAGCTGGTTTTGTATGTTTTCAATAAAATTGATAGTGTGTAAAATAGTTTAATAATTAAGCTAAGTATACTTTCGACATAATAAATGTCATCATCAGAGCTATCGTCAATTAGGTAATAAATACTTCATAGAAGGACAATTGTGCACAAACGACATATTAAAATTCAAAGATCGGGCTCTGTAGGCCACAGATCTTGGGTCTAACCCTTATACATATGTATAATTCACATTTAAAAAGTTTTTATAAAAACATGGTTACCACATACAGTAACGACAACAGCTGTCTTTGACTTCAAAGACAGCTGTTGTCGTTACTGTATGTGGTAACCATGTTTTTATAAAAACTTTTTAAATGTGAATTATACATATGTATAAGGGTTAGACCCAAGATCTGTGGCCTACAGAGCCCGATCTTTGAATTTTAATATGTCGTTTGTGCACAATTGTCCTTCTATGAAGTATTTATTACCTAATTGACGATAGCTCTGATGATGACATTTATTATGTCGAAAGTATACTTAGCTTAATTATTAAACTATTTTACACACTATCAATTTTATTGAAAACATACAAAACCAGCTTACCAGTTAGACCATATGAGTAATAGACAGTTTGGATTTCGTAACGGTTTTGGAACAGTGGAAGCTCTGTATAGTTTTACAACTCTTGCCCAAAAATGTCGAGACCAAAAAAAAAAGATCTTTTCTTTACGTTTATAGACTATGAGAAAGCTTTCGACAAAGTTAAACATTCTCATTGAATGTCTAAAGAGAAAAGGACTCGACAAAAATGACATTAAGATAATGAGAAATCTGTATTGGAACCAACTGGCTGTGATAACATTAGATGGAAATAGCACAGATGCGCAACAGATAAGTAGAGGAGTGAGACAGGGCTGTGTACTTTCACCATTACTATTTAATATATATTCTGAAGAGTTATTTACGCAAGCACTTGAAAACTGTACAAAAGGGATCAAAATAAATGGAGAAATTATAAATAACATCCGTTATGCTCACAATACAGTCATTATCGCTAAAAGTGAGACAGACATGCAGACGTTACTAAACACAATTTGTGATACTGGGGAACAGTTTGGTTTGACAATAAACATAAAGAAAACAAAAGTCATAGTTATCAGTAAGAGGGGCAAAGTCATTACAAGGATCCAGATAAAAAATGGAGATATTGCGCAAGTGGACAAAATGAAATACTTGGGAGTCAGGATTACGGAAGATCTGAATCTAAAATCAGAAATTCGCTCAAAAATAGAGCAATCAAGAGGAGCCTTTTTGAAGATGAGGAAATTTCTGAGTAACCAAAGACTCAATCTGCAAATCCGACATCGGATGGTAAAATGTTATATCCGCTTTCTTCTTCTTAACGTGCCGTATCAAGTCCCCTTGACGTTGGCGATTAACATGGCGAAACTGTCTCTGTCGCGAGCTATTCTAAATGACTATTGTCAAAATTTTTACTAAATCGATGCATATAATAGAATTCGCCGGGTTTCTACTATTTTACCGTCATATCCTGGACTATAACTAAACCTAATAAGCCTAGAATTACAAAAAAAAATTGTTAATAGTCTGTGTTTTATTAATATTTTCACTTGTGTTTAACAACATGAAATGGTTTTGACAAGGTCCCAATCCCAATAAAAATTAATTTAATCTAAAATAAAATTGGGTCTTCCATCTCTAGTGTAAGGAATAGATGTGTGTAAATTCTGCTCCATAATAATTTCAATTTTTGGTTATTGTGAGTCGATAATTTTGCTGATTTTGCGTGCAGTGTGTAATACAAGAATAAAAGTGTTAAGGGTAATTATAGCAAAGACATTGGAAGAGAGGTAAGTGCATAACCTCGATAAATGTAGGAAGGCGAAGGAAATTTTATTTACTCTCAACACAAAAAACTAAAAACAAAACCGGCCCAGGTAATTAACACTATATATCAGTTTTAAAAGCTAAAGGTGGGCGTTGCCACATCAAACCGTTCCAAAGTATCTGACAATTATTTTAATTGAAAATTAATTTATCCAGGAAGAAAACGAGAAAATAAATTACTACAAGCTACTACTTGAGAGAACTATCTTCCTTCGACGCGTTGAGTGGGGAGGTTAGCTCTATCGCGAGTAGTAGCAGCAGAAATATGGATTCAGATGATAATACATCCGATGACAATCGGAAAAGAAATAGAGAAGAAGAGGAACTATTATTTGGTCCCAGTAAAAAAGTACAAAGAAGCCCAATTAAAAGTCACAAAAATGAAAACAAAATAGATCAAATACTAAATATGATAAAACATTTAACAATAGAGTTACAAGAATTAAAAAACTGATATAAAAGAGGTAAAAACGGAACAAAAACAATACAGAGAAGAAATGAGGGAACTCAAAACTGAACTAGCAGAAGTAAAACAAGAGAATAGTAAAATCTCTAAAGAAAATGAACAAATCAAAAAGGATCTGAATGAGACAAAAGGACGCCTTGAAAGGCTGGATAGAATAAGAAAAGAAAATAATGTGATAATACAGGGAATGACAATAGAAACTGGAGATAGAAGAGTACTAAAAGAAGTGATAGAAAATTTTATGACAAAGGAGCTAAATATTACTGTAAATATAGATGAAGCAGTGAAACTAGGAGATAAAACATGTTTAGTCAGATTGCCAAACATAGAAGAAAAAACAAAAAATATGGAAAACAAAAGTAAACTTAAAGAAGTGAAAAAAGAAAAAATATGTATAAACAATGATCTAACGACAGAGGAATTACAAATACAGAGGGAAATACGAAGAATAGCAAAAGATGAAATAAAGAAAGGTAAACGTGTCCAAATTAAAGCCAACAAACTTATAATAGATGGTCTAGAAAGGAGATGGAATAGAAACACCAACCAGCTGGAGGACCATCATGGAGGTGGTTCAAAAAACTAGCAAGGGATGAGAGGATACATTATTCGTTGACGGACGAGGCAAAGAAACAGGAAATAACTGCAGATAAACCCGGGCACAACAAAAGTGAAATAAAGAAAAATGGACAAGAAAACAAATATAAAGGACGAAGACAAAAGAACAAAAAAAATAAAGAGTTGAAAATAAGCACATGGAACATAAGAACTATGCTAGCTCCAGGAAAAATGCTAGAAATAGGAAAGGAACTCAAAAAGTATAAAATAGATATTGCAGCACTGCAAGAATTACGCTGGGAGGGACAGGGACAGATTGACAAACAAGACTTTACACTGTTATATTCAGGAGGAAAGAATTAAGGGCAAAAAGGCGTGGGATTCATGATACTTAGTCACCTAAGAGAGAAAATTATAAGTTTTAAGCCAATCTGCGAAAGGATGGCCTATGTTAGAGTCAACAGCAAACCATTTAATATATCAGTCTTGAATTTATACGCCCCCACAGAAACAAGCAATGCAGACGAAAAAGAAATCTTTTATGATAAGGTCGAAGAGGAGATAGAAAAAATACCCAAAGAAGATGTCATATTTGTACTGGGAGACCTCAACGCCCAAATTGGAAAAGAGGACTTTTTACAGCAAATTGCAGGAAAGCATACAATACACGAAAACACGAATGACAATGGGCAAAGACTAGGTAACCTAGCAACAAGAACAAATTTGTTAATAAGCTCGACAAAATTTGAACACCCTAAAATACATAAGGTAACATGGAGGTCACCGGATCAGAAAACATATAGTCAAATTGATCACATAATGATTAATAAACGAAAACAATCGTCAATAAAAGATGTAAGAACGTTCAGAGGTGCGTGTGCAGATTCAGACCACTACATGGTCACAGCCATTTTAAGACAAAAAGTTAAAATTGAAACAAAACAAAAAAACCAACATAAAAAGTGGAATGTCAATAAATTGAGTAATGAAGAAGTAAGAAAAAAATATGAAGAGGCAGTAACAGTTCAAATAAAAGAGAAATATAAAGTAGAAGATATAAGCACAGAATGGGAGACGATCAAAAAATCAATAGAAGAAGGTGCAAATATGCAGATAGGTAAAAGTCAGGCTAAAACAAGAAACGAATGGTATAACCAAGAATGTAGAGAAATAACAGAAAAAAAAGTGCAAGCCAGAAATAAATGGCTAAGAACAGATAAA